GTCAATATTATAGATATCAAAACCAGATAAAGATACAGGAACAAAAATAAAATTGCACACCAATTTTCCTCATGAACACAGGTACAAAATTATCAATAAAATAATTGCAAATAAAATTGAAGAACATATCAAAAAGATCATTTACCACTCTGAAATTCATTTCAATCCAGGGGTGTAAAAACAGTTCAATATATAAAAATAAATAAATAAAGTACATCACATAACTAACTCAAGGACGGAAATCACATGAGCACAGTTTTGACAAAGTCCAACATCCTTTTATTTTAAAAGTTCTTAAGAAATAAGGAACAGAAGGAATTCACCTCAGCATAATAAAATTCTATAAAGCTACATATAAACAAACTTACAGTCAACAGTATGTCAAATGGGAAAAACTCAATGCACTTTCTACTATAAAATTTAGAATCAGGCAAGAATGTTCACTTTCCATAGTTCTTATTCAAAAGAATTCTCAAGGTTTTAGGCAAAGAATCAAGACTAAAAAGAAATAAGTGAAATATAAATAAGAAAGGATACATAGAAAAGAATATAAATAAGATGGCATGATCTTATATATAGGAGACCATAAAAAATCTAGCAGGTAACACCATCAGAAAGTAGCAGGATGCATTAAGAGCCTACAAAATCAGGAAAGTAATTCTAATCATAAGAGCTTCAAAAATCATACCTTGGAATAAACCCAACTAAGGAACTAAAAGACATCCACAATGAAAAATTTAAAAAATGAAAAATTAAAACATGGAAGAAAAAAACTGAAGAACACAATACAAGATTTGAAAAGATTTTCCATGGTCATGGATTGGCAGAATTAACACAGTAAACATTACTACAAACATTCTACATTTTACAAAATTGCAGTGATGGTGACTGTTGTAAAAGGTTGCTTGTTTGTTCCTTGCTGCTCAGCCCCGAAATAATCACACAGAAACTATATTATTTGAATCGCTGCTTGGACTGTCAGCTCTATATTCTTATTGGCTAGTTCTTACATCTTAATTTAACCCATTTCTATTAATCTGTATATCACCACAGGCTGTGGCTTACCAGCAAGGTTCCAGCTAATCTGTCCCCAGTGGCAGCGATATGGCATGTCCTGACTCTCCCTTCTTTCTTCCAGCATTCAGTTTACTTTTCCCTCACGTAGCTCTACTCTGCCAAGCCACTGGCCAAAAGCAGCTACTTTATTAACCAATAAAAGCAACACACATACAAAAGGACTTCCCACATCAGGTGGCATTATTTACAAAACTAGAGAGGAGTCTCGAATTTCAAAAGGAAACATGAAAAGTTGAGCAGAATAAGCAATCCTCAACAGAAAGGACAAAGCTGGAGATATTACCACCCCTGCTTTCAAGACATATTACAGTCATGGTAGCAAACGCAGCATAGCACTTGGACAAGCAGATGCATACATCATGAAGTAGAATGGAGAACCTAAAAGCCAATCCACACAGTCCCAGCCAGAGACACCTAATTTTTGACAAGGACATCAAAACAATCATCAGGAAAGGATTTTTGAATACTTGTTCTGGAAATATGGATATGAATAAATACAAGAACGAGCTTAGATCCCCATCTCTCACTGTGAACAAAACCAAACTCCAACTCCATCAAAGATCTTAATGTGAGACCTGAAATGCCAAAGGTGTTGAACGAAAAAGCTGCGAGAATGCTTGGAAATATAGGCTTGGCAAAAGCTTTCTCAGAAATATTCCTCCAAGGGGTTAGATCAGTCTCAAAAGCAAAGATGCTTTTTTTCCTCTTTGGATCCTAGATTTTATACAGATACTTGGAATCACATAGGTAGGTAGGACATGAGAGTCGAAACATTTGCCTATGCGACAAAGGGAACTAAAGGCAGTGGGGAGAACAGACAGCACATTATGATGTCATATGAAAATATCTTATCAAATACAGTATGAGACACAACGCATACACACCAATACAAGAAACAGACAGAAACCAATCATATCCTTACAATATTTTTGAGAGAGAAATCACTGTATTTTAGACTTTTCTTGCTGAATATTTTTCTTCCAAACAGGGAACAGTCTCCCAGTGGGAGACATGTTTATTATCTGATAATGTGTTTCCAAGGGTCTTAACTAAAAAAGGGTATAGAACAACAAATGCCACCCAAACTACACACAAATTCATTAAAATATAGCACTAGGAATAATTCTACTAAGCAATTCCTTTTCTACTTTTAATACAAACATCTGTTTTAAATAATCAGCCAATATTACCAACAATCTCTGGCTCATTGTAGAAATATGTAGTTAAATCTGCCACAACAAAGATTTTAGGTTGATCAAAGTAATGTTAGCTTCCAGTATGGAGGGGCATGGAGGAGACCCTTGATCCCATCACTGGCGGGAGAGCTGCCCACATTTGATACTGGCTGCATGAGGGAGAGTTTAATTGCGTGAAGGATGTGACACATATAGAGGGACCACACAGAAGAGCTGGCCCCTAGCCCAAGACTAGCTGTGCAACACAAACTGGACTCCATGGAGAAAGAGGAAAAAAATTAATCTCAAAGTTGGGTAAGAAGGATTTGGAGGTTGAGAGGGTAGTAATAGGAAGACTTGGGAGGGTGAATATGTTCAAAATACATATGAATTTTTCTAAGAATTAGTAAAAATATAAAAAATACTAGTGCAGGTTTACTCCATAAATAATAATAAATGTTATCAACACAAGAATTTGTTAAAGTAAGGTGATATAAAAACTATTAAAAGGAAAATACAAATGATGAAAAATAGAAGATCTGCAACAATATTTTAAAGTTGGAGGGAAAATAAATGATTTTTTAGAAAATTAAACTTACCCAAAATGTTTTAGAAAAAATGACCACTTGCAATGAAGTTTGTCATAATAACCATATGATAACATTAAAAGATTATGAAAAAAACTCTTTTAAAAATTAGTTCAATAAGTTTCTCAGTTTTTTCCAAAATACTTCATTTTTTCCTTGTCTTTTTGTGGAAATTTGGTGCCTTACTTTGCTGAGTCTTAAAGTAGAAGCTACTTACCCATGCCAGTTTATCCTAAATAATAAAAGTCTCCAACATTAAAGATGTCCCAATGCCTTTGAGCTTTAAATAAGAAATTATATGAAAAAGACTTGTGCAAAATCTAAAATAAATCCAATCCACTATACCAAGACTCAGGAGCATATTCTATGTTCCTTTTGGTGTGTGATTTCCTATATACGGTCAACTCAAATGTCAATGGAAACCAAGGAATTCCAAAGGACCTTTTGAGTCTACTTGACAATACGAGAAAACCTGAGCTTAATCATTGGTAATCCCAATATCACCAATTATTACTTAACAGCCCAGGGCCAACGAGATGGCTTTGTATATAAAGTCTCAAAGCATGCCCAGAACCCACATGTTAAAGAAGACAATCAACTTTCGGGAGTCATCTTCTGGATTAACTAATCCATAATTAAATAATTAGTTAATAATCAATTAATAATTAGTCGATAATTAATTAATTAGTTGATGAGAAAGCCTGAGCTACTAAGCCAACCAGTTAATAATTAATGTAAACCTCTGTTTGTTTCTTTGGGACTAAACGGCTGAAAAACCAGGCGGGTCCAAAAATTCTGTCAACAACTTTCTACCATCATTCATGCTAATCTGTACAATGTAGGAGTTACGATCTTCAATTTTACACTCAGGAAAATCAATCTCAAAGTTAACTATCTTGAACAGGAACCAGGGAAAGGTCTCTTCTCACTAAACTGCACGACCCCTTTAGCCTCCCACCTGTGAACACCAAATGAAGATCTTTATGCCAGTTCTGGACAGAGGAACAGAGGGCTCAGCCCAGGATGTGAAATACGTCCTTCATTTCTCAAAGGTTTGGAGCCTTCCAGCATTGAACTGATTCTGAAAATGCTCAGTGACACTCTTTGTTACTCTGGAAGTCACTCATGATGGGTTTCCATCCAAGCTGAACCCCTAGAACCTATCTTTAGAGCACATAATCCAATATATTTAGTAGCCAGAGGATGAACTAATCCTACACATCCCAACTTGCTCTTACTTTAATTGCTCATGTTGAAGTTATGTTTAATACAAAGCATTATCTTTATTTTGTATTAATTATCTTACCTACAACAAAAATCAAGTTCCTAGAGTATAGAATATGCTTGAGCTTCAGTAACAGGCAGTGACAGAATTTTTGAGAATGTATTGAAGCCCTCACACAAGGAAAACAAAACCACTGCAGACTTCAGGCTGTGTTTCTCAGCCAGTTAGGCCAGCATGGCTTCTAATCTTCCCCGCGCTGGCTTTGCTCTCTGTTATAGAGTATGGCAAGTTAATCAAGTGAATTCTTCCATCAACATATCTTTTAGTCATTTGCAAATGTGTGTGTATGTATGTAGCAAAAAATATAAACAAACACACAATATATACATGTATATGTATAGGTGTGTTTATACATGCATGTGAATGTGTGTGTGTTATGTGTATCTCCAAAAATGTTCAGACCATTCTTCTAGGTGTTTTTTCTTCAATCACTCATTCATCCTACTTAGTCTTTCCACAGCACAGAGAAGCCAAAGGGACTTTCTTCCTCGCATTCTTTAAGCCTTTGGGTTTCCTCTGCTGTGACTTCTGTTTTGTTGACATTCCACCCTGAATAAAGCTCTTGTAGACATTAACTTTACAACCAGCCAGGTTGGCCATGTATTTTGTTATGTTGGTGAGGATAAAGAAATTGATTGCTATAAGAATCAACTGGTTTTCCCATGTCATTAAGCAACATGATCGCAACTACAAAAGCAGAAGTCAGCAGAAACATCAGCCTAAGAATCTTGGAGTTTCTTCTGCATGTTTGTTGACGTACACACTCAGTGGAACCAAATTTTTTCCACAGAAACAAGAAGGAAGCAGAGTTTCAATGAGAGAGAGAGAGAGAGAGAGAGAGAGAGAGAGAGAGAGAGAGAGAGGAAGTTTACTCACCAAAACAACAACCACAGGGTACAAAAGAGGAAGGCCGCTCTCCTCAAGGATATTCAAGAACTTCTGGGTCTCTTGAAAATCAGAGGACACAACCTTGAAGACAACAAAATAGGAGAAAGTGAAAGGAAGTTGACTCACAGGGAGGTGAACTTTACATCATAGCCAATGGACTTATCGAAATTAACCACTAAGGCACTTTAAAAGACAACCATCATTTATGCATACTAAGATTTGAGCTATTTTCTGTATTGAACTTATGTCATCATATCTGCTTTACATATGGAAAAATTAAAAATACTGTACAGAAGCAATACTTGCATCATACTAGGAATTGGGCTCAGAAAAGAATGTTTCCCTATTTGAAATGGAAAGGTGGACACTTTTAAAGCACAGAGTGAAGAGCACAATTAATCTACCACTCTTCTGTTGCACATGGAAGGGTCAAGAAGGTCCATTCTCTCTGATACTGTTTTCTCAGGTCACAAATGCTTCCAACTGTTTGTGTTTAATACTTACATTCACACAGATGAAGCTATAGCACTGGTCTGTGAGGAGGTTCTGAACATCACCGCCTGTGTGATCCAGAACTGTGGATGTGATATTAACACACTAGGAGAAAACACATCAGAAGACATTTACAATCTGGACAGACAGACAGACCAATGAACATAAGTGACCTTATGACAAAGCCACAGACTGATCTAAACTCATAGATCCTCGTAGATTCTACAGGAATAGATCCAGGCTGAACTCTATTAGACCACCACAAGAAAGGTATTTCAATTAACTGTGAACTATGTATATTATCTTAAAAAATAAAAATGTAGGAAACTGTTTCAACTATGGAAAAATAGTGGGGACCAAGAAAACATTAAGGAACAGGCAAGGAGCCTGGTGTGTGTTTTATGAAGAATTGGTTACAGGGGATGCTTGGGGACCAGAACAGAAGGGCTGCCTGGGCAGTGTGGTGGACTTAGAGAGGACTGTAAAATACCGTAGTTCAAACAGCACAGTTTACTTCACCTGGGATGACTAAAAGCAGGGAAAGCCTTAAGAAATTGTAACAATGATGTCTATTAAAGAGAAATAGGAAATAAATTTTGGCAGTAACAACCAAAAACAAAAACTGCCAAAAACCATCTTCTAAGAGGTAGCTTCTCTTGGAGTGACGGCACACACCTTGATCCCAGCACTCGGGCCACAGAGGCTGGTGAGTCCCTGCCATGCCAACTTTGTCTTCATAGTGAATCTCTGATTCAATAAACAAATAAAAAGCAGCAACCTTAGACTAGATTAGGAGGGACAGGACCTCGATCATGAAGACTCTGCTAAAAATATTTCCTATATCCTGGGTTTATCTTGCTTCAAGTTTTTCTTTAATTATTTATGAGAATGTAAGAATCATTATATTATCATTATATATATAACCCAATATATATATATATATATATATATATGGATTCTCTTATAAAATACAGCTGTAATAATGCCCCAAGAATTCACATCTCATGGCTCATACTACATGGCATTCATCACCCTTTACAATATGTATTTCTGAAACACAATGCTGTTCCTGATACATAAACTGTAGCCCCAAGATGCCTTACTCAATGGCTTAAGTCCATATACTGTTATCAACTATTAAATGATGGGGGGGGTCAAGAACTAGTTCTAATACAGATATTAGTTCACTGATAATTCTTAAGATTTTATTTCCGTTTAAAATTTGTGCTGAGCCCAAAGTTCAAAGAGAACACTGATTTAAAACACTGATTTAAAAACAAAACAAAACAAAATCAAAAAACAAAAGCAAATCTTTCCCGGCAGCATATACAATTAACACTGTAAGAGAGATCAGCTCTCGCTGTAGATCAAGATTCACCAAGAAATTGAATCTTTTGGATGTTAGAAGGAGACAATTTTTCACGGCCTCTAAAGTTTCCAAATTATTTCAAAGGCTTTAGAAGCTAATTTGCTTCCATGGTGTTGGTACAAGAGGCTACGTGCAATGAAAGTTATACCTTTGCTTCTGCAGACTCACTTAGATTTTAGGAGTTAAGACTAAAGATGTCAGTCTCTCAGAACATAGTCCCCAAACATTCCTGATTCATAAAGATCTTTCTCCCATGTGACTGAAGGATGTGCTGGTTTGCCAGCATCCATTGCTTAAAGTTAGATTTTCCCAATATCAGAAATGCATTGCATTTTCTTTAACTCCAGTAATCTAGCCCGCAATTCAGCTCTATAGTGGTAGGTTTTGAATTGCTTTGAAAATATATTTGTTCATCTATTTGATAAATTTAAAACTCCAACTAACAACTGCACCGTTCACCAGATAAGATACATATATCCAAAGAGTATTTCATAAAGGCTATTAAATATAAGTGCTATGTATATGAACATACACACCAATCAAACTATATATCTTTTCTTCTGAAAACCAAGATTCTTAACAACTATTTCCAGTTAAGGGCAATTATTTTTGGTCCTACATCTTTCTTTTCAACCGGACATAATATCTTTCATGGTTGCATAAAGAAACTTGACTTAACCTAAAAATGGCACGGGTATCTTAGTATACAAGGAGTAAGTAAGCTGACTTGACCAGGCTGTGTCTGAGCAATGCTGTGACGTCACTCGGGACTGTCATTCTCAACATTGCTACTCTCCGACACAGTAAAGGGAACAGTCTGTGATTAGAAAAACTTTCTTTTTCTAAGTATTTTGGCCCAAAACCCTTTAACTACTTGAGACAAATTTCCAAGACATTCAAAAAATTAAGGAAGTTTAACAAAAATTAAAGGTTTTCCTTATTGCATAAAGACATTCTGTAAAGATTTCCAATTAATTAAATGTGTGCATCTGCACAGTGGAAATACTGTGTAAAGCATGAGTACCTGAGAGGAAGATGAGGGGTCAGAGAGTTTCCCTCCAGGGAGAGTTAGGGCTCACCCAAGTCTGGAAGGCTTTTCCTCCGCTCTCCTGAGAAGTCAACCCACTGTTTTCAGAACAGGCTGGTTGAGTCATCTGAACATTGGAACCTGCCAATACCCATCCCCTCCCATTCGCCCTGCAGGCCTAGGCTGGGTGTAAGTGAGGGAGCGGCAGAGACAGGTACTTCCCTTCCAGTCTGAGGAAATGTTAATCATTATAAATGCTTTGTATTCCTTGTTTGGCCACTCAGCCTTGAGTCCTTCCTAAGGAATCCCTGCATCTGAATCAGTTTTTAAGTCTTTAAGAGCCTGGAGTCTGGAGCTTGGCTCTCTGGCTTTCAATCTATCTCTGGAACATTCATTCCATGTTTATTTTGTAAAAACTTACTGTGTCCTGTGGCTCGATTGATTAATTGGTAAAATAAATACCTGATAGAATTCATAGGATCAGCTAATAAGTGAAAAATAAGAACTGTTTTTAATCTAAATGTCTTTCTCTAAATCTGAGAAACGATGCACCTGGTAGGAAATCAGTTCCAGTATAGTGAGATCATAAATGTACCAGATTGCCATGCTGACATCTGCTATTCTATATAAACTAAAGCCCCCATCCATGAATGGGGTGCTGTTGGGTGAGGCCAGTGTTCCTCAGCAAGACCCAGACCCTTGCCAGTTGACTACACCCAAAGATTTACCATTAACTAACTGCGATCATCTGCATAGTTTAAATACTATTTAAAGGATGAAGAAAAGAGAGAAAGATGAATGAATGCTGAAATCATACCGCATACCTACACATAAGCAATTGTTACCGTTCATATACTTTACTATCGCTAAAGTAGATGAAGAAAAAGTAGCCGATTTATGATGACACAGCCAAGAAGGGGTTAATGTGCTGATTCTGGTCCATACAACATAAATCCACTGCTCCTCAGTAAAGCACCAGTCCTCTTAATTTGCTGACATCACCAGGCCAGTTTTTAGAGGAGTGGGGACTGAGTATTGAACTCTACTGAGAAGAAGCACTTGATACTGATGAAGTCAATTGGTTACTATCTAAAATGCAGGGGTTCACTTAACCTCATAACTCTTCTCAACTTTCTGGGTCTTAGATTGGGGAAAGAAATGTACTTAATAAGTCTCTTCTCGTTCAAATCTTTGGGCTTGACTTTGGAGAAGAATCAGTGCTCTTGAACAGCTGCAATCTACAGATGCTAAGCAACCCGCAGAGGGTGACAAGAGAAATGCCCCTCAAGAACTGTCTTCCGCTGCGAATTCCTTCCTCTCTGTTAGGAGCACTTTGAATGCCAACTATTGTTTGGATGAGACCCTATCAAAGACTGTAGAATGGGGGAAAAAAGAGAAGTAATCCTAACATAAATGAGTTCCTGTAACAAGGAATTCATGGTCCCATTTTATTAGATAAAGACATTAACTATCCAAAGCTGTAAAGTGTCTGGGAAAAAAAATATAACGCAAGTGATCTGTTAAATCACTACTTGGTCTATTAGCTCTAGCTTCTTATTGGCTAGTTCTTCTCAATTAATTACACATTAATTAATACACAATTCATCTGTGTATGGCCAGGTGGCTGTGGTTTACTGGCAAGGTTCCAACGACTACATGGTGTCTCCTCTACTCCACCTTCTTTCTCCCAGCATTCTGTATAGTTTTCTCTGTCTATCTCTACTCTACCCTATCACAGGCCAAGGTAGTTTCTTTACTCATTAACCAATAAAAACAACACATATATTGAAGGCCCTCCCACATCAGTGTTCCATACAAATTAATAAAGCCTGTGTCTTGTACTGAGCTTGTACTATGGTTAGCGGGCAGTGAGTAAGCAAAATGGACAATCATGCCCATTAACTCATAAATCATATTTGTCAAGCACAATGTGCATATATTTACAGATAAAATGATAAAAGATAACATGTTATAAGGTCTACACAGTAATGAGATCTGTTGAGATTTAATGAAGCAAGCTAAGAATTTAGAAGTCAACATAAACAAATCCTCTCTATCTTAACTAAAAGCACAAAGTCATAAAGAGTAGGTAAACTTAACCTCAGATGTACAGGCATAAGGTTTGCTTATTTGAAGGCAACCTTCAGTGTGGGCTACATAGAACACTGAGGCAATGCCAGTGACTGAGAAGCTTCTGCCTTCGAGAAGCTCATGTCAAATGCAGAAGAACTGGGACCTGCAATTCCCAAACAAAAATGTGCATCGGAATCTCTCAGAACCTTATACAAAATTCAGATGGTTCCTTTTTCTGCATATAGGAATCAGCATTTATGAAACACTTCCAATTGGTGTCAATATTACCTGGCCCTGCACCGTAGGCTGAAGCATGGGTAGATCCCTTGAAAGCATAGAAATCTAGATGGGCTCTCTTTTCTCAAGTACATAAAGTCACTGAGGTGACTCATAGAGAATCCAAAGCTACATGATCCTCAACAAAATCATAGCTACTGCTGTTCTTACCATTTGAAATGCATCACACATCTCTTTATTAGATCTACAAGCTTGACGAATGTGAACGACAAAAGCAAACACCTTTATTATCTCAACTAATCTCCCTTCAAAATCTTGCAAATTTACAGAACCTAATTTTATTTGCATGTACAAGGCTTAATTTTTAAGGAATAGGAAATAGCCCAGATGCATATAAGT